GTTTTGAGTGAGGCAAGCTTGAGAAATGTTACTTTCCTCTGACTATGAATAGTTTCTCTCTCCTGGCTCCCTTGACTCAACTGCACATAACTGATTTAGACAAATGATTCTTGCAAACTATTGGTCCATGTACTTCTCAAAGCCTGACTGCTAGAGCATAACACCCACAGTACCAAGATGGAGTTAGGAAGTTGTGTGTAACAAAGGAAGTTATGTAGCTCTGGGGACCAGGGGCTCATTATCAGACAGCTATAATTGCCACAGAACTCACTGCCACATAGTGGAAGGACAATGTTGACTCCCACAAGTTGTCTTCTGACCTCCACTCGTGTGCAGGACATGTATGTGCCTCCTACCCCACACAAATAAATGTAATAAAAACTTTACATAGGCATCATAAAAACCACTTTCAGTACTGTTTTCTTCATTGAACGCAACAAATTCTGATAGCCTTCTACAACCAGGCAGTGGGCATATAAAAGCAAAACATGAAGGGATGGCAAGAAGGCAAGAGGACCTGAGTTTGGATCCCCAACACCCACATAAAAGTCATGTGGGGCGATAGGTCCCGGTAATCCCAGCAGTGTGGAAGCAGAGACAAGAAGATCCCCAAGGCTTTCCAACCAGCCACTGCTGAATTAGTGAGCTTCAGGCCCAGTGAGAGACCCTGTTTCAAAAATAAAGTGGAAAGCTAGGCAATGGTAACACATGCCTTTAATCCCAGCACTCGTGAGGCAGAGGCAGGTGGATCTCTGTGAGCTCAAGGCCAGACTGATCTACAGAGTGAGTTCCAGGACAGCCAAGGCTACACAGAGAAACCCTGTCTCAAAGGACAAAATTAACAATAATAATAATAATAATGTGGAGAGTCACAGAGGAAGACACCTCCACATACATGCGCATGCAGATTCACACACATGCATACAACACATACACATGCACAAAAATAAACAAGTAAGTAAAAATAGTCTCACTGTGTGTGGTAGTCACCCGAAATCCCAGAACTCAAGAGGCTGAAGCAGGAGGATCATGTATTTGAGGCTAGCTTATGTCACACAGTGAGACCCTCCTTCAACAACAACAAAAAAAAACCTTAAAGCCCACAGGAAAGATAAAGCAATCCATAATTTTCATACACCATAGTAGAAGTGTCTACAGAAAGGAGAGGGCTTTGGCACAAGTGGAGGAGGGAAGCAAGGTACTGGAGAGGGATGAGAACCAGATGGCAGTAGGGAGAAGGAGGTTATCAGCAGAGTTTTCATGGCAATGGTGCTTACACCAGGAGAGACCTGTCGGTGAGGGTGGGGGCGAGGCGTAAGGAAAGACGTGGAAGTGTGAGATGCAGGGTTAGATTATGGAAAGTGCAAACAGAACTTTAAAAATTGTTCTCTACCAGAAGCCCATGACATTTCCATGCCTGTGGTCGCTTTAAACTTCGATATTTTAATCTCTATACACTCAAAATACAGAGCAAGGAAACACCACCTTGGAGCTAAGTTTCTTTAACCTCTACCAACTGGAACATGGAAAAGGACCCAAAGAATGGCTACCACAAAATCCATGGACTGAACTAAGTGGCACAAGCCAGCAGTAAGAAAATTGCATAATAGTGGTCTATTTAGTACAGGAGCATTCGGTTCTGAGCAGTTCAAAATCTCCCATAAGAGCTCAATATAGCACAAAAGCCCGGTAGTCTATGGGATGCTCAGGGGCACTGGAATAGCTTTCTGTTATGCACCATGTTTATAAAGCAGGGAGCCGTATAAAGCACACACACACTTGGAACTGGAGTTAAGAACACAAGCTGCTCTCTCAGAGGACCCTGGCTCTGTTCCAAGCACCCCTTTGGTGGTGCCCAACCGCCTGTAACTCTAGTTCTGGGTCACCCAATACCCTCTTCTGACCTCCATGAGCACCATGGGCACCAGGCATGCATGTGGTGCATGTACACACATGCAGACAAAACACACATACACACCGGGCGTTGGTGGCGCACGCCTTTAGTCCCAGCACTCCGGAGGCAGAGGCAGGCGGATCTCTGTGAGTTCGAGGCCAGCCTGGTCTACAGAGCGAGTTCCAGGACAGCCTCCAAAGCCACAGAGAAACCCTGTCTCGAAAAAAAAAAAACCAAACAAAAAAAAAAACACATACACATAAAATAAATAAATCTAAAAAACACACTTACAAAAATCCTTCCATATGATTAAAGTGAAGACTTTATATTAAGTGAGAAATCCACCACTACTTCTGAAAGTCACCCCTGTGAATCACCTATTCTCTTAAACACTCCAGATGAAAGAGATGTTATTGCAGTATTAGTCACTAATAGACATGCAACATTGGTGATACTAACCTTGGGGTGGGAAATATCAGTCACTGACTGTGAGGAAATAAATGTTATAACTGTTGATTTGTTAGACTAACTCTTCATATTTACATGGCAAATTTCTTTTTTATGAATAGGTGATACAACTCAAGATTTCTATTTCAAAGGCTTATTTCATCTGATATCTTCACACAGAGAAAACTTCCCAAAAATATGCATTGATGAATGCAAAGATAAATGAATGAAAAATGACTTTATCTACTGAAGGAATGACAGTGTAGTCTTGCATTTCACAATAACTGTAGTATATTACTTTGACCACCAAATTAGGCAGAAACAAAGGTATTTCATAAGGCATTTTACTTCTTACATTAGTAAGAGAGGATGATGTAGGTCAAATCTCTGTAACACCAAATATCAAAATAGCACCAAGTTTTTTTATTTTAAATCTCAAAACCATGAGGGAATGTGGTGCTGCATGTTCTGTAATCTCATCACTCTGGAGGCTAAAGCAAAACAGGAGGACTGTCAAGAGCTGGAGGCCAGCCGAGGCTATATGGTGAGTTCAAGACTAACCCTGCATTGTCTCAACAAACAATCAAAGTTAGCCAGATAAGTCTAATTAGTAGATATCATTTACTAAAATTTTTACTATTTTACTACATCAACTATTCTATTCTCAAGGATCTAAAGATAAAATGGCCAAGCTCTGCTGGGCGGTAGTGGCACAAGCCTTGAATCCTAGCACTAGGGAGGCAGAGGCAGGCAGATCTCTGTGAGTTCAAGGCCAGCCTGGTCTACAAAGCTATACATAGAACCCCTGTATTAAATATACTATATGACATCTATCTCAATTATCCATTACTTTTAATCTAGTCATTCAAACTTGTAACTTGTTTAAATCACTAACCTATGATTTTCCCGCGTACAGCTTATAAATGTTGAATTATACAAGTTTTCATTACTTTCTTCTTCAGGAAGTTTTCATCAGTCTTATTACAAAGCCTGATAGGACACACATGTCCTAAAAGACATTATTTAGCTTAGTGTCTGTATTTCATCTTGAATAATTAATGAGAAAATAACATTGGCACAGAAATACTCCAGTTGTGAATTTACATTATTCCTAATGAATGACATGGTTAGGACTAGGAAAAGCTTGTTGGAGAACTGACTAGTAGCTTCAGGAAAAGAGATTATTTGTAATAATAAGGCATGACAACTTGTTTTAAAAATAAAATTTCCCATAGTATACACAATACCAAGTTTTTTTCTCTGTTCTTGGATGAGGAAACTTACATGTGAAAAAGTTACACTTCATTCCCAGCACTTTATTCCCAGCACTCGGGAGGCAGAGGCAGGCGGATCTCTGTGAGTTTGAGGCCAGCCTGGTCTACAGAGTAAGTTCCAGGACAGCCTCCAAAACAATACGGAGAAACCTGTCTCAAAAGAAAGAAAGAAAGAAAGAAAGAAAGAAAGAAAGAAAGAAAGAAAGAAAGAAAGAAAGAAAGAAAGAAAGAAAAAATGTTTGAAGCATTATCCAACAGTGGAGATTTAGAAGTGTCTATTGACTGCATTATCTTTTGCCATTTTATTAAGAGGAAAAATATGTTTACATGAGTAGAAGCAAGGAGAAGAAGAAGAAGAAGAAGAAGAAGAAGAAGAAGAAGAAGAAGAAGAAGAAGAAGAAGAAGAAAGAAGGAAGAAGAAGGCATAGCTAGCGTACTCATGCACAAACTGAGAATTGAGGGCTGTGTTGCACTCTATCACATTGTGAAACAAAAGCTTTACTGTATGTAACTGTGTCCCAAACTATTCAATCATATTTCATAGCTTCGCATACCCTAGAACTAAACCAAGATGCCAAAGATCAAGGCTCCTATTTTAAAAGAAAAATTTCAACCATCATAAAGAAAATATTCACAATATTTGTCAGATCAACAGTTTAATTAGTTAAGTGTCAGCATCTCTTTTTTTTTTAATGAATGTGCTGCTCAACTTCTGATTGTCTAAACGCTGCCTCTCCTCCCCCCCCGAAGTTGAGCCACATCTTCCATCTTCAGAGTTTTACAAACACTTGTTGAAAATGTGAAATTGCACTTATCTTAGGGAAGTTCATACAGCGGGGCTTCCGAGAAGCAAAACTATACTTCTGAAATGAATTCACATGAAATCTTTAACGTGAATATTATTTTTGTCTTGGGACTTTTAAAAAGTTCATATAGAAGATTGAGTTCCAAGCTACAAGTGCCAATCACTTTAAAATGAGCCCTTTACCTCTAAGACAGAATTCACAGAAAAGCCCCATTGCAGATAAGTAGCCACAAGTAACGCAGATGAACACAATTCCTATGGACACTGAGGCCGTGGACCAAGTAAAAAGATGAGTACATCTCAGTCTTGGTGCCAAATTCAGGGTCGCCCCAAGAATGCTCTTCCTTTGAAGATTTCAGGCGACCCATATACACCCGACGTCTCACAACCCCTAAGAAATAAAACTGAAGAGAATTTAACACTTTCCCAAGTTGGGGGAGGGGGTGTCTGAGAAGCGACACGCATTTAAATTAACAAAAAGAAATAAATAGAAGCAAAACCGAGATTCAGAAGGAAGCGGTGCCGCTGCGCGCACCGCTCCGGTTACTCAAAGACCCCAGCGCAGCCGCGCGGAGCTCACCTTCCATGTCGCCGCGGGCCGCTCGGGCTACAGCTGCCGCTCAGGCTCCACGGCCGCTCCACGTGCTCCTGCCGTGGGGACCCGCGCGGCTGGCGGGAGATTGCCGGCGCGGGGAGGCCCCGGGATCGCTCGGACGCGTCGGCGCAGATGCAGTTCGGGAGCCGGCCAGCAGCCGGTGCGCGGGGTTACAGCGGCGCTGGCTGGCGGCCGCTTTAAAGCACGCTCGGAACGCCGCGGGTTCCGCACCCTCAACCCACTTTTGAATGTCAAGCCTGAGGAACCCTGATCTTGTGGAAACAGTGCCTCAGTGATGGTCTCCGGACGTTTAGTTCAGACACACCGAGGATGAGGGCGCTGTCGCAGGGAGAAGGGTGTGCTCAAGCCCAACTTCCAGATTCGCCTGACGCGGACAGCTCTGAAACTTATCTAGATTTGGGGATGAGAGTCATGAAAACTGTCAGTGAGAATTCACTTCACTGAGTTATTTATGGAGGCTTTCCCCACCCTTGGATTTTTCATTCCTGTTGGCATAGTCACCACTGTAATTCCAGCACTTGGGAGGCTGAGGCAGGAGGATTGCCATCAAGTCCAGGCCAGCCGGGACTATAATATGAGCCATTTTCTCAGAAAACAAACTTTAAAAGTCCTTGGCCCAGATTTATATAGATAATTCAAAAGTACCTTGGCATTTACATCACTCCAACTTTTTAACTTGAGGGAACAATTCTCTCATTTGGCTGTCCTTTCTGAGAACTGGTTGATTTTACCACTGCTCAAAAGACGACTCTACATATGTGTGTTCATTTCCTACGAATCTTCTTTCTCCTAAATAGGACACTTTACAAAAATACACATATGATGTGTCAGACAAGGGAAGAGTAGAGCTACGTGGGGTAGATGAAGCAAATCAGAGGAAGGTGTTGGTTCACGGAGACATACCAATCAACATCCTTTCCCATCATCTACACTTTATAAAAAACACTTGACTGGGGGTGGGGGGCGAAGGGACAACAGAACAGTTTTTCAAAGCAGAGTGTTTCGTCACCATCACTCTGAAGTCTCATGAGGCAGTTCTCAGATGGGCATTTCTAAGGATGCCCAGTGATGTAGAAGGAATGATTCCACTTCCCACTGTCATTCTTGCTAGATTATACTGTTAATCATACAATATGTTTGAAGCACAGTGTGGTGGCAAACACCTTTAATCCCAGCACTCAGAACTCTGTGAGTTTGAAGCCAGCCCAGTCTACAGAGTGAGTTCCAGATAGCCAGGGCTGCACTGTAGGGAGACCCTGCCTGAAAAAGACCACACACACACACACACACACACACACACACACACACACACACAGGAGATTTAAAGCTGAGAACATGTACATCAATCACCTGTATCTGAAAAAATCATAATTATGAGTTAGCTAAGCTCACTGATATTTTATGAGCCTAAGTTCATGTTAACTGGTGCCTTGGTGCAGGCAGTCTGCATAAAATATTACTATGTTTATGTGCATATGTATATATAACATATGAGTGGCTCAAACTGGCTTTACAATCACAGAACCACAGCAGCATCTCCACAGACAAATGAGTTAGAGCTCTGCAGGAAAACACGGAGTTCAGAGAAATACTCTAAACACTAATGTTTAATTTTAGTACTGAAAGGGGAAATTTGTTGTTTGTTAGTTTCTAAAAGCAAAAATAGCACATCAAAAGAAGCAGAAGAGGAACTGTAAACTTTCACAGGGATGATAAGGATGAATAACTAATTGGTTGTTTAAAAGTTAGAAACTTTTGTGTTACATTGTTAACATTTTATGTTACAATGTTCTTTATATGTAACAGTATGCTGTTATGGAGTGTAAATGCTTATTCCAGACTACAGATACTTAGAGGGATAAATAAAAAGCAGATGCATACAATCATTTATGTAACTACTCCACCCTCAAGTAGGTGGAGCATGACGTGTAGGGAACACACAGTGACATCCTTCCAAACAGTAAAATATGAAGAGGGAGCGGGTAAACTTATAGTGGAGAAACCTGACAAAAACTCCTTCAGTCAGTTGAACACATTTAACATCAAAAGTGATAAAGCATGATATAGTATGCACCACTATAATGTCATTTACAGCTGCCATCCTCACAAAATCCATAATACTATAAAATAATGAGAAGAAACATCAAGCAAAGTCCAACAGAGAGGCTTTCTACAGAACACTCACCACTAAGGCTAAGTCAGGGTCATGAAAGCAGTTGTTAACTGTCAAAGTCAACAGCAGCAGCAGCAACAACAACAACAAAAGAAAGAAAGAGAAGAGAAGAGAAGAAGGAAAACAGGAAAAGTCTGAGAAACTGTCAACAACCCAGAGGAACCTGAGGAGACAACAATTAAATGTAATATGGAAGCCTGAATGTGACTCTGGTCTAGATGAACTAAGGTGAAAACTAAGAAAATATGAATCGGGGTCTGGAGAGATGGCTCAGAGGTTAAGAGCACTGGCTGCTCTTCCAGAGGTCCTGAGTTCAATTCCCAGCACCCACATAGTGGCTCACAACCATCTGTAACAAGATCTGGTGCCCTCTTCTGGCATGCAGGCAGAATACTGTATACTTAATAATAAATAAAATAAATAATAAAAAAGAAAATATGAATCAAGCACAAACTTTAATTAATAACACTGGATCATGCCAGGCATAGAGGTGCACACCTTTAATCCCAGTACTTAGGAGGTAGAGGCAGGTGGATCTCTGTGAGTTTAAGTACAGCCTAGTCTACAAAGCAAGTTTCTGGAAAGTCATGGTTGTTACACAGAGAAACCTTATCTCAAAAAAAAAAAACAACCAACAACTAAAAAGGATTTCTCAAGTATACATCTGTCCCAAGTATGAATATGTAATTTTTCATGTTAGAATAGTAACTTTGGATATAAGCATTATAGATTTGTCTTGTATAAAAATATGCCTCTCTCATTTCCTGAATTACTGACATAAATCAGTGAAAACTAGATGTCAAGAATAAAGAAAATCAGGGCTGGAGAGATGGCTCAGAGGTTAAGAGCACTGCCTGCTCTTCCAGAGGACCTGAGTTCAATTCCCAGCAACTACATGGTAGCTCACAACCATCCGTAATGAGATCTGGTGCCCTCTTCTGGTGTCCAAGCATAGAACACTATATGCATACATAATAAGAATTTTTTTAAAAAAACTTTAATAAAAAAAGAATAAAGAAAATCAACATAGATTTCATAAGTGTACCCACCTCATGTAGCTTTCCCATAGAGTAATATAACACGTCTTTTTTTTTTCTAGGCTTGCTGAGCATGATACTACACACCTTTAATTTCAGCACTCAGAAGGCAGAAGCAGGCAGATCTCAATGAGGTCAGCCAAGGATACACAAAGAGACCCTGTCTCAAAAATAAACAAATAAAACTTACAAAGTACAAAATTTACTTTAAAAGAGTACATGGGTACTTTCCATACACAGACCACTATTCTATTTTAGAGGTTTTCTTTTTAAATTATGTATTTATGGGAGGAATGGGGGTATGTAATGGTATATGTAAGTGTCCATGGAGTCCAGAAGAGGTCATTGGATCCCCTGGAGCTGGAGTTATAGGCTGTTGTAAGCTGCTCAACTGGGTACTAGAACTAGGGTCTTCTGGAAAAGCAGATAAACTCTTAACCACTGAGCTATCTCTCATGACCCACTATTCTAAGAGTCGAAATTTAACACATAAAGTTTGTAAGAATCAGTTGCAATAAGTGGAAAGTTAATAACACATTGTACATTTGGACAATGTTTTGGTTAAAGCTGAAATGAGAGGTGTCTCAGCAGTGAAGAGCACTGCCTGCTCTTCTAGAGGAGCCATGCTTGATTCCCAGCATCCAAACGCTGGCTCACTACCATCTCTAACTCCAGTTCCAGATCCAACATCCTCTTCTGGCCTCAGGGAGCACTGCATGCCTGTAGCACACAGACAGACAGACAGACAGACAGACAGACAGACAGACAGACAGACATGCAGCAAAACACCCATACACAGTTTTAACAGTTGAGACCAAACCGGGAGTCTAGACATAGTAACTGACGATGGGTGGATCTGACTCATTGAATCACATTTTTCATGTGTGTGCTATACAGATAAAATTAACAGTGACTAAAAATGAAATTCCTGACAAAGGTTGCTCCTGGACCATCTGAAACAGTCCAAATACTGACTCGGCTCAAAGGAAATAAAACTGAAAACCCTGATCTCACCCCAAATAACCATTCTGCACCCTATCTGAACCTTGGGCTCTCTACCTGCCAACCTACTCAAAACCACTACTGAGGATGGTGCCCTACTGCTAAGAAATAAACAACACACGGGGTCTTTCAGGTCCCCTAAATAGTAGTCAAGGTGGGACCACGCACGATATGGTTGACGACTCAGCTCAGTGAAGGTCCTGGGTTTGGTACCCGCATGGGGTTGGGGAAAGAACTTTGAAAAGCTGTTTTAGACCTCCCTGGTATTGACTTATCTCACATCAGCTGAGGAAAAGATCATACGCTCTTGCCTTTCGATGGGGCCCATTTTCTAAAGCAAAGTTACTTCCGAATAAATTTGCATAAGGGGGTGTCCCTCTACATCATCTCACACCCTAAGCTGAAAAATAAAGTTTCGACTTTGCTCCACGTGGGACGTTCAGGGAGCACCCTTTTGGTGCACTGAAGGCTCTTCGAGATCTTGGTTTTGTGTGACAGAAGCAATGTGTGACGCTTTGACAGATCCGGTCACGCTAGCTTTAAGTCAGACTAGGGAGTTCCCGCCCGAGCTGGGCCCTCGCTTTTAGGAAATTCTCACAAACTTCTCCCTTCCTCAGATCACCAAACGATGGCATTTTCGGGCAGCTAGGCGCCACCACGGTCCTAGGGACCCTCTGTGTTCTCACGTCAGTTCCTTTAAGCCCTAGTCTGAGGAAGTCCCTGGAAGTTTTGAGCTCGTTTCCTTTACTCTCTCTTCACACGAAAAGGCCAACTAGAGCTGGGGCGCGGGAACGCGGCACCCGACGCGAGGTGCGAAAGACTCGGCGGGTGCCGCGCTCTGCAACTGCGCATGCGCCAGGAGGCGGGGCTCGCCTTCCGCGCGCTCGCCCCGCCCCTCGTGCCAAGCCGGAACTCGCAGGCGCTCTCGGGCGCAGCCGCCCCCGTGGTAGCCACGGACCGGTAGGGGAAATGCCCTCGGCGGTTTGCTTCGCTCTGTAGAGGAGCGATGGGGAGGCGTTGGGCCTGGCCTGAGGTAGGAGGGAGCCCAGCTGCCGCTGCTAGTGCCTGAGCCATGACGCGCGCGTGGGTCCTACTCTCCGCGGTGCTCTGGTCTGTCGTAGGAGGTGGGGCTTGGCCCGCAGGCTCCTCCCCTCTGCCTGAGGTTCCCTGTCCCACCTCTCCTGCGCCACCCCTTGCCCTGCTCCCTGCTGAACCCTGGGTCCTCCAAACACTAATAAGTCAGAGGTTTTCTTCCCTCCGCAGTTGGATCGCAACGTTCTTCCTTATTCAGTAAGAAAGGCTTTGTTTACGGCACGGAAGGACACCCAGGTAATAAGTGCCTCTTCCCACGCAAGGCCTGTCCCCAGAGCTGGGGATGCCGTGCACCTGCTTAGGTCTTCCCTGGAGGGAGAAGGAAGCGAGCCAGTCTGCTCTATACTCTGCAGTTCGGAAAGTTTGCATCATCGTGTCCTCAAAGCAACGCTAGTCTTATGTCCCAGTAGTCATCGCAGATCTAGTACTGTCTTCCAAATACTTCTGCTTTGTAATGAGTGAAGCCACTTAGCGGGGTGGACGTCCCTCCGGAAGGGTCTTCTCTCCTTTTATTAATCAGCTCTACTCATTCACCAAGCCCCAGCTCCAATGTTACTCACTGTAGCTTAACTTTGCTAGTGACACAACTATTCTGAGATAACTTTGAGCCACTTCACTGTATTGCTTTTAGAAAATCTCCGCATTTAAGGCCTTTCCCTTCCCAACGCCACAACTACACCACCAAATTTTATAGACTCAGACCCTTGCAATGACTGGACCTTAAATATCTTGTGAGATCACGTACAGTCGCTGTCTTCCAATTGAGTCAGCATAGACCTCTACAGAACACCCTGGTAAGCTCCACATGGGCCAACAGGGAGTGTAGGTGAAATACAAGTTTTCAGTTTTGAAATAGCTTTTCAGTCAAGCTAACATCCTCTGGACATTAATCCCACGATCCCTTCAAACAGTTATTGGAGCTGTTTATGAATGTGTACATTGTGAGGAACTTACATTTTAATGAACTCACATTATATATAATATATATATATAATTATATAATTATATATATAATGACTGCTGACAAGGTGCAGTTTAAAGGGTTACTGTGAGTAGCAAAAATGTCTTCATTCTAAGTGACAACTAGCATCCAACGTGATACAACCACTTTTTACTTACTGAAATCCAAAAGGAACTAATTGGTATCATTGGGACAAATCAACAAGAGTGTGTTTCTCCATTTTGTGGTATAATGTAGTTACATGAAAATTTATTTTGTCACAGTGAAAATATACGTAAAGTTACATCAGAATAGCCCTGTCCTTATTTGTATGGATATTAATCGTGCTAATAAAGAAACAGTGGACCCCACCTACTTATGGATTGGGCCTAATGAAAATGCATTAACAGGTAAATTATTTTAATATAGTTTAATGATGTGAACATTGTTTTTTAAAGTGCTGTCATTGTTGAAAGGAACAAATTTAAACATTAAATTTATTTTATGTTTATATGTATTTTACTTTTTTTGGCTTCATGCATGTATGTACACTGCATGCATGCATGCCTGATGTCCTCGAAGATCAGAAGAGGGTATTGAATCCCATGGAACTAGAGTTACTAATGGTTGTGTACCATCATTTGGGTGCTAGAAATAGAACCCAGGCCCTCTGCAAATACAACCAGTGCTCTTAAACACTGGGCAATCTCTCCATCCCCAATAAATGTATTTTAACTCTAATTAACTTTGCTCAGCATTTCAACAAATTGTAATTTTTCTTGGCTTTCTGCCTTAAGTTCTTCCTATGCAAAAACTAAAGCAGATCTAAAGGACGGCACAGGCCTGTGAGTTAAACACTCAGGAGGTTGAGACTGGAGGATTACAAGTTCAAAGATAGCCTGAGCTGCTGGGTGTTAGTGGCACACGCCTTTAATCCCAGCACTCGGGAGGCAGAGGCAGGCGGATCTCTGTGAGTTCGAGGCCAGGCTAGACCGACAGCCTCCAAAACAGAGAAACCCTGTCTCGTAAAAAACCAAAAAAAAAAAAAGATAGCCTGAGCTAACCAAAGAGTTACTTCTTTGTTATTTTTTCCCTAGTATTTGGAATTGAATCCAGAGTCTCCTCTCAAGCACCCTCCAACTGTCCTACTATCCTCAGGCAGTTTTTTTCTGTACCTACCTTCCAAAGCTATTCAAAAATTTTCATAAGTACTAAAAGTTTACTCATGAAACACCAGTAATATGAGATATTCACTGTGAAATTTTTCATGTTAGAAGAATATCTTGGGGTATCAGCATTATTAATTTGTGTCTTATGTAAATACATATATACATATGCATAAATATATATATAATTTGCTGAATTGCTGACATAAATCAGTCAAAGCTAGAACCATGAAATAAATTAACATAGATTTTACAAGAATACCCAGCTTGGCTGGCGAGATGACTCAGAAGTTAAGATCACTTGTTACTCTTCAAGAGGTCCTGAGTTCAATTCCCAGCAATCACATGGTGACTCACAGTCATCCGTAATGCAATCTGATAGCCACTGTATGCAAAATAATTAAATCTTCAAAAGAAAAAAAAAGATTACCCGGCTTACATAGCTTTTCCATAGAGGAATATGACAATTAGGATTTTTTCTGGGCTAGTGAGCATAGTGCTACACTCCTTTAATTCCAGCACTCAGAAGGCAGAGGCAGGCAGATCTCTGAGTTCCAGGACAGCCAGGGCTATACAGTGAGACCCTGTCTTAAAAAGAATTTTATTGAGTTCTTGAAGTTGAAATAGTCTATTATTTTGATTTTTTGACATGTGTTTATAGCTCTGATTTTACTGAATAATGTTTAAGTCACCTGTTAAGTAACCAAGTAATTTTCTCTTTCTGACTAGGGAATAGCCGAGTAAACATGACAAACACAGGAAAACTGGTGGTGAAAGATTTTTTGGAGTCATTATCTGGACTTTACACATGTACTCTTTCCTTTAAGACTATCAAAGCAGAAACCCAAGAAGAAACAACAATAAAGAAAAGATATGACTTTATGATCTTTGGTAACAATATATTTATATAATTATAATAATTATACAAGCACATGAGCCATCTCTCTAGTCTCCCCAAAACATTCTTACATTTTAAGATTTAATATGTGTATATGTATGTGTGTGGGCATGTGTATGTGTGTGGGCATGTGCATATGAGTGCAGGGACCAGCAGAGTCCAGAAAAAGACATTTGGTGACCCGGAGATGGAATTGTAGGCAGGTATGAGCCACCTGATACAGGTACTGGGCACCACAGCTCTTAACTACTGAGCTATGTCTCCAGCTCCAATGTTTTCTTGATACTATTAACTTATCCATGCTGTGACTCCACAGAAGCCATTTCTACTAAGTAGACAGATACCAAATGACAATGACTTTTTCCATTAAAATTATTAGTTTTATGTATTTTGTAAAGACTTATGAAGTATTGCAGTAGATAAGTAAAATTTCTAAACTTGATTTTCAAGATTAATGATCTTTAATATTGCATTTTTGAAATTTTTGAATAGCAGAAATTAATGCAAGGCACAATTGTTTTTATTCTCACCTTTTTCCAAAGCCTATAGGGAACCTGACTATTCTTATCACATGGCTGTGCGTTTCACCACAAAGTCTTGTATAGGAAGATATAATGACCTGCTCTTTAGAGTGCTGAAGAAAATCTTGGATAATTTAATCTCTGATTTGTTGTGCCATGTCATAGAACCGTCATATAAGTGCCATTCTGTTAAAATTCCAGACCGTGACTTCGTGTATGAGCTATTCATAGCCTTTCAAGGTGAAACAATTTTACAACATTAACTTTATGACTTTAGTAGAAAACCATGATAAAATTAATTGCCATGTAAATATGAGAGGTCTCATAAATAACAGGTTTGAAGTATTCGATAAGCACTAATGTATACTGTTGACTGGTTGTGGTTTAAAAGTCAGCAGATGAGCCGGGCGTTGGTGATGCACGCCTTTATTCCCAGCACTCGGGAGGCAGAGGCAGGCGGATCTCTGTGAGTTTGAGGCCACCCTGGTCTACAGAGCTAGTTCCAGGACAGCCTCCACAATAATATAGAGAAACCCTGTCTCAAAAAACAAAAAACAAAGTCAGCAGACTAGTCATTTACTTTAAAATATATTTATCATTTAAAGTCAGTATCATTTTATTAGCATAATCTTTAACTATGCAATTTTAGGAATGATGTTTTATTGTTTTTTGGTTTTTGGTTTTTTTTGAGGACTTAAGAGGGAGTAACCAAACCCAGTCTGTTTCCATTTTCAAGTCTTGTAGTTACTTTCATTAGCCCCCAGATGGAGTAAAGTCACATTGCATGGGTTATTCAAACTGTATGCCTAACTTTACATAGCTGGGTTAAACATACATATGCCTGCATATCAACTAAAGCATATGGGACTTTGCTGAAGTGTTCGACACTTTTTAGAAGCTTGTGTGTACCTGTCATGTTTTCCTCTCCAGTGAATCCTTTTGCACCAGGCTGGAAAAGTGTGTGCAACGACTCTTTAGACTGTGAAGACGCCACTAATCATAACATCCTCAAGGTGAGCTCTCATCCTGAGGGAAAGCACTGAGTAACCTAGAAAGCTCTTGGTAAACACTTTGTCTTATTAATAGGAGTTTCAGGTCATCTTCAGATACACAGTGAGTTCAGTGCCAGCCTGAGCTACATGAAAACCTATCTCAAAAGAAAAACAATTTTTCAAGAATCCACTTCAGGTTGTCCTCTGACTTCCACATGCCATGGTATGCATGCACCCACATATGTATACCTACACCTGAGCACATGTGTACACAACACATACACACACACAATATATATATATATATACAGAGAGAGTGAATATATGTATATATATATATACACACACATATATGAAACACAATACTACACTAGTTTTTTTAAGAATAATTTATTCTAAATTTTTAAAATAATGTTTGTGACCTGGCAGTGCTGATGCATACTTTAATCCCAGCACTTGGGAAGCAGAGGCAGGCAGATTTCTGTGAGTTCAGAGACGAGTTCTGTGTCTACAGAGCTAATCCAGGACAGCTAGGGCTACACAAAAGAAACCCTATCTCAAAAAAATTGTTTGTTTGTGTGTTACACACCTGTAGCACACATGTGAAGGTCAGAAGATAACTGGCAGAAATTGGTTCTCTCTATCATCTGTGTTGGTCCTAGGAATCAGATCAAGACATCTGGTTTCTTGGCAGGCACATTTACCACTGAGCCATCTCACCAGCCTGCTTCCATCTTTTAAACAGAGATTGCTGCTATGTCAGTATGTATTTCTCATAATAGTAGCTGTGGTGGTGTGAAAGAAAATGACCCCCAAAGAGAGTGGCACTGTTAGGAGGTGTGGCCTTGTTGGAGGAAGTATGTCACTGTGGGAGTGGGCTTTAAGGTCTCCTGTGCTCAAGCTAATCTCAGTGTCACAGTCTACTTCCTGTTGCCTGCAATAGGTAGGATTCTCAGCTACTTCTCCAACACCATATCCCACCAATATGGTAATGGATTGAACCTCTAAAACTGTAAGTGTGCCATTGTCATGTGGGAATCAAGATTCACTACCACTGATCCACGCTGGGCACTTGCTGCTTGGCAGAGCGGCTTGACTAGGAGCTGAAGAGTTGGCTGGGAGATGGGAGCTGTGGGAGCTAGCACTCATGCTGGGCACTGCTAAATTATGGCAGTGCCAGGCAAATACCTACACCTCCTACACCTCCAGCATAAACAGCCTAACCACGGTGTGGCCGCTGTAGGTCAGTGAATTTGCCCACTAGACAAATAATCTCACTCCTGACACCAGATGTACTGTGGGGATCAAGATTCACTAGACCCAGCACATGTTAAAGGAGGTTTATTCGGAGAGATAACACTTACACAAGAGGCTGGTGGCTACCACAGCTTCCAGCTCCAAGAATCCTCCCAGGCTGTTTCCCAGACAGCAACAGGAGAGCTTGCCTAAATCCTCCCTTCCCTACTCACCTGTGACCTCACCCAAATGGGCGTGGTCAGCACCACAGGTTCGTAGTTAGATCTCTGGTTACAAGCCATAGCAATTGAATGTTTTCCTTTATAAGAGTTGTTGTGGTCATAGTGTCTCTTCACAGCATTTAAAACCCTAACCAAGACAGTACCTCTAGAATATCAGATAGCTCCCCAGGCTCATATTATGTATTTTATTTACACCAGAATGGTGGATCCCTGATCTTCATTTTCTAAATGGTTAAGCATCAGCCTGAAGGAAAACCTCACAATCAAGTTCCCATAGGTTAAATCTGTGGTGCTTACAGTCACATTTATAGTTGTTCACCCCACTGCTGGCTCCAGAAGCTGAGAGAATAGTCAGAAAAAGGGCCTTAATTCAGGCCTGGTGACACATGCCTTTATTCCTAGCACTCAGGAGGCAGAGATGGGTAGATCTCTGAGTTTGAGGCCAGCAAAGTCTACAGAGTTGAGTTCCAGGACAGCCAGAGCTACACAGAGAAACTTTGTCTTGGAAAGACAGCAGCACCAAAAAAAGTGTTTTCACTCTCCTGTCTTGTTCCAAGTCTATGCCTGTAATGTGATGTAATAAGTACTCATTTAGACTTAGTTATTATTATAGTTTGTCCCAAAGCCAGATTCATATAATTAGCTTGTAATGCTGATTAAATCTTTGATTTCCATTTTACTTTGCCCTTTTAAAAATTTTATTTATGTGTTTAATGTATTTTGGTTTTTGCCTACATCTATGCCTTGTGCCATATGTATACCTATTGCCTGAGGAGGCCAAAAAAGGGCACAGGATCATCTGGAACTGGAGTTATAGGCAGTTGTGAGCTGTAATTTGGGTGCTGGGGATTGAATTTAGATCCTCTTGAAGACTGTGCTCTTAACTGCTGAGCCATCTCTCCAGCACTTTGACTTGTTTTTTTTATGATCATAGAAAGTTAGAGATCATGTTTAATCTATGTGTGAAAAAGATGTTATAAACAAATCAAAGCAGGTGTTAGTGTGTGTGTGTGTGTGTGTGTGTGTGTGTGTGTGTGTGTGTGTGTGTGTGTGTGTGTGTGCTACAGTACCACTTCAGGTGTCAATCTCAGGAAAACTATCTCCTAATTTGATTTGAGATAGGGTCTCTTCCTGATTAGGCTAGACTGTCTTTCCAGCATGCTCCAGGAATCCTCTACCTTCCCTACACTGGAATTGCAGGCAAGGAAAGTGCTTGACCAACTGAGCCATCCTAGAGCAAGTTTTTATAACTGCTTTCCTTAACCACTTTGTTATAAATTAACAATAATTAGTAAAGTCAAAACTAGACTAATTTTAGGTTTTAACATAGATTTTTCAAGATTTCATCTAATTCATGAGCAAGAACTATTTTTGCTACATTTTATGCCCTGTGATTCATGAGAAGGAGTTCGGTTTTTAAATTAATCATTGTAATTTTCTCTGGTATTTCTAAATCTTAGGCAAGAGATCGGATAGAAGAATTTTTTCGGAGCCAAGCATACATTTTGTACCATCACTTTAATGAAACTGTACCAGCTATGCATTTTGTGGACCACAGTTTTCAAGTAGTGCGTATAGATAACTGTCGACCAGGCTTTGGGAAAAATGAAGGTCTCCACAGCAATTGTGCTACCTGTTGCGGTAATTATAAAATATAAGTACCTAAATGTCTGTATATTCCAGTGAAAGGATGAATAACTCACCTAGGGTTCTTTTCATTGATCCTTTCATAGAAAAGAGAAGTAAAAAAACTTGAAAGCCCAAATTTCTAAATACAGTCATCCTAATGTATATTCTTTGAACTGTTGTCTCTTATATTACAAAGCATTTCCATAGTGTTCTGACATAGAACTGTAGAAACTGCAGACAGGCACTTATAAATGAAGCACCAAGAAGTCCTGCAAATACTAATAGAAGGGAAAATGCGGTATTCTAACTCTCCCCTGTGGCAGGCTTTCATGGACACTGGCCCCTACATCATGACACGGAGATTTATTACTAGTTATGAATGCCCAACCTTAGTTTAGGCTTCTCCCACTAGCTTTTTTCTCTTCATCTATGTTTTGCTTCAGCACTTTTTACCTTTCTTTCTGACTGGCCCTGGGCTCTCTCTTCATTCTCTCCTTAGCCTAGATTCCTCCTACATATTCTTTGCCTACCAGCCCCGCCTATCACTCTACTGCTTAACTATTGGTCATTCAGCTTTTTTCTTTCTTTCTTTCTTTTTTTTCATGAGACAGGGTTTCTCTGTATTGTTTTGGAGGCTGTCAGACCAGCCCGGCCTCGAACTCACAGAGATCCGCCTGCCTCTGCCTCCCCAGTGCTGGGATTAAAGGCATGTGCCACCACCGCCCGGTGGTCATTCAGCTTTTTATTAGACCAGTTCGGTGCCTTAGGCAGGCAAAGCAACACATCTTTACATTGTTAAACAATTGTAGCATAAATAAATGTAACATACTTGTGGGGACCCCAGACCTTGAGCAGAGACCCACTTCCCCATCAGCCTGGGAGTAGGCAGCTGTAAGACAATGTTTACTAAAATCATGTTTACTAAAAACAATACAATGTCCGGGGCAATAAGTTCCTGAAAAGGGCTGGCCCATGGGAACTGCCCTGACCTCTACCTTTTCCAAAGACTAACCCGCCTCTTCTGACACGCCCAAGTCAGTTTCTGGTGTCAGAGCAGAACCAGCCAGGGATAAGGAGAGAGCAGAAGCTTTTCTGGAGGGAGGCCTTTCTTGGGAAGTTTTCTTGAGCCTTTTGGGGGCCTGCTTAAAGTTTTCTTTACACTGTTGAACGAGTCTCTGTGTTGTCAATCCCCGGCACCCTCCGCACATTCTCGGACACAGGCTACACAGCGGGCGCAGCACATACTTTCCATAGTTAAAGTAATATTCCACAACACTCCATGTTTTTAAGATTATCACATTACAAAGTTTGAGGTAATCTTCACAACTTAATTGGCTACACAGGTGTATGTATCCTTTGTAGAAAAGGTGTAATATTGAAGATGCTTTTGTATTGCTGATATGAGGTATCTCTGAACTATACTCACTGATGGATGGCCTGCATTTTCCTTTGCAGTGGTCTGCAGTCCTGGAACATTCAGTCCTGATGTCGATGTCACCTGTCAGATCTGTGTTTCTGTCCATACATACGGAGCTAAATCTTGCCCATAAACTTCAAGACCAGAGATGAAAGCATGGTTACTTGCCCCTGAAGGTGGGGACAAAGATTTGTTCACATCTGAGAGCGTCATAGATGCCTCCAGAAAGTAAGATCAGTAAGAGCAAAAATCTGGGGTTGTGCATTTTAGAAACAGCAACAGAAAAGAGTTGACATGGCTTTTCGAAGAAGGAATTTCCTTCAGTACCTCCAGTGTACCAGGGGGAAGTTAAGTGTTAGTGGATGCTTTAAATGAAATATGTTCTATTATCTAGAAACTAAAACATGCTTTGTACCCGATACTATATTAAGATCAAAAAGAGTAGCAAAGTATGGTATAATAAAAAATTTCTATTTTCCATATATTAATTTGTTTGAAATGACTTTTATCAAGACATACATAATATACTTTTTAATCTTGTTTTGTAGTGCCAAGCAGTAGTGGAGCGTGCCTTTAATCCCAGCATTCAGGAGCCACAGGCAGGCAGATCTGTGAGTTCGAGGCCAGCCAGGTCTATAGCTTGGGTTCCAGAATGGCCAGGGCTACACAGAGAAACACTGTTTTGAAAACAAAATAAAATAGACTTATTTTATGTGTATAGTTGTTTTGCCAGCATATATATCCATGTACCACATATGTTCTTGGTACCTTCAGAGACAATAAGGCATTAGATCCCCTAGAACTGAAGTACAGAAGGTTGTGAATACTCATGTGGGTGCTGGGAATCAAACCCAGGTGCTCTGGAAGGATGGTCAATACTCTTAACCACTGAGCCATTTCTCCAGCACCCACAGGACTTTTGAAATTAGAACTAAACAAGTGACTCTAGTCCCTTTGATTTTATTTTTTAACAATTAATAGAATCATGTTTGGCATAGGCTTAGGTTTACAGAAAATAAAACAAGTGATATACAGCTCCACATATCCCTCCATGTACGCGTGACTGTAATACATGGTTCACATTAAGGTTTCATTCTTCATGTTACAGGTTTGGGCAAAGGCATAGTGATGTGTTTACCATTTGGTTTAATATAAAATTATTTTACCACACTAAAAATCCACCATGCTTCATTTGATCCTCTCTGCTCCCTCCCTCCATCCTGAGTCCTTGGCAACTCCTCCTCAGCATCTTCTTTTTTTGTTTTATTTTTGGTGTGGTTTGTTTTTTGGGACATGATTTCTCTGTGTAACAACCCTGGCTGTCTGGAACTCACTTTGCAGACCAGGCTGACCTCAAACTCACAGAGATCCGCCTGCCTCTGACTCCCGAGTGCTAGGATTAAAGGCGTGTGCCACCACGGCCTGGCCCATCTTATTGTCTTTATAGTTTTACCTTTTCCTAAGTGTCATGTAGTTGGGATTATACATTGCATTGCCTCTTCAAATTGGCTTCTTTTCACTCGGTACCATGTATTTTAGGTTCCTTTATGTCTTCTTATGACCTGATAGCTCATTTTTATTGCTACGTAATTTCTTCCATAACATAAATACAGCTGCCATGAACATCTGTGTGCAAATTTTTGTGTGGACATAGTTTTCAGCTCAGTTGAGTTAATACTTAGAAATGTGGTTGCTGGTAAGATGGTATGACATGTCCAGTTTTGTAAGAGACAAGCATACTGCCAACCAAAGTCGTTTACCATTTCATGGTCATGTTCCTTTTCACCAGCATTTGCTACTGTCAGTCTGGGGGTAGGGAATGACTACTCTAATGGGGGTAGGGAATGACTACTCTAACATGGAGACAGGATATTTCTTTTTTTGTTTTAATTCCCAAATTCTGTCAAGCCTCCTGGTGTCTTTTCCTATGGTCACTTGCTATCTGTTTGTGATTGTTGGTCATTCTTTGGTGTCTGATTTTTTTTTGCCATTTCTTAATTGAATTCTCTGTCTTCCTGTTGAGTTCTAGAATTTCTTTGTATATTCTGTGTGCAGAGTTTTAGATGCTTTTACAAAAACTTTTGCTCCTTCTGGAATATGTTGTTTCGTTCTTTCACACTTGGCTCACAGAGCATAATTTTTCATTTTAATAAATCTCTGCTTCACTGTCCATTGTCTGTCCTTTAGTCAGTACTGTGCCATCTTGACTCGTGGGTACCAGTCACAGTCTAATAGGAATAGTGTTCTCCACTATTAATAATTCTGCACTAATTAATATGGTCATATGATATTCCTTTAGCCTGTTAATGTGATGAATTACATTAATTCAGAAGGATTACCATAAGTTAAAGACTACACGTGCATTCCATGGTGACCTGTGCTGCATACAGCATGATACTCTTGTTTCAAACCTTCTCCCAACAGAATTTTCAAATGTTGGATCAGATTTGTGTATTTGACTAAACCCTTCCTAGTCATTGTGTATAAATTTTTCTCTGAACACTTTATCTTTCCCAAAACACACTAGCATTATGGGTTTTGGAAGAATTTCGGCTTGTTTTGATTCATTGTTGTTTGTTGTTTGTTTGGTTTGGTTTGGGTTAGTATGCATTTGTTTGGCAATGCTAGGGATGGAATCCAAGGCCTCATATGCACTAGGTGTGGTGGTTTGAAGGAAAATGACTCCTAAAGAGAGTGGCATTATTAGGAGGTGTGACTTTGTTGGAGGAAATGTGTTACTGTGGGGGGGGCTTTGAGGCTTTGAGGTCTCCTATGCTCAAGCTATACCCAGTGTCACAGTCTACTTCCTGTTGTCTATTTCCTGTTTCCTCCTCCTCCACCACCACGTCTGTCTGCATACCTCCACATCCCACCATAACAATAATGGACTAAGGCTATGAAACTGTAAGCCACCCCAATTAAATGAGGAAGGGAGGGAGAGGGAGAGAACTCTAAAAATCTAAAATCTCAGTTTGAGCCTTTTCCTCTTACCAGATTCTTTTTTGCTGCCTCCCAAACAAACTACATTCATTCCTCATGTGTAGAATCCCTCCATTCCTCCCTCCTTCTTTCCCTCCTTCCCTTTCTTTCTTTCTTTTTAGCCCAGACTGGCCTTGGAGTCACTGTAGTCTTCCTGCCTCAGCCTTCTGGTTGATAGGATTACAAAATTACAGCCACCACACCCATTTCCCTTGTGCTCTTGCGTTTACTTAGAGTAGTACTGCCCACCCATCACTTTCTTCCATGTCCCCCTTCCATTGTTGATTTTATCACCCTAATCCCAAATAAACACACAGATGCTATATTAAAAAACTGTTGGCCAGTGGCTAGGGCTTCCTATTGGCTAGCTCTGTCTTATTTACCCATTTCTATTCATCTAAGTATTTCCACGTGGTCTTGGCTTACCAGAGAAGGGTTCATAGCTGTTACTCCTTCCTCTGCTACATGGTGTCTCTTTATGTCAGGCTCCCTTTGCCTACCTTTCCCAGAATTATTGTCTCCTAGTCCCGCCTATCTTCCTGTCTCTATTGTCCAAACAGTGTTTTATTCATCAACAAATAATAGAAACATATATACAGAAGGACATCCCCCATTACCTATCATCCCAGCACTTGAAAGGAACAAGCAGGAAGATTGCAGTGAGGCTGAGGCCAACCTGAGCTATACAGTGAGCTGCAGGCCAGCCTGTAATTCCTATTAAATAATAAACATCCTCATGCTGGCTTAGAGTCTTCTTTGTTGGAGTTTGTGTGTGCATGTATGTAAGTGTTGTGAGGGGGTGTTCATGTGCCTTCTGGTACACGTATGTATGCATGCTTTCAGATACCAGAAGCAAGCCTCACATACTGTTCTTTCTACTACCTACCTTGGGTCCTTTTGTTTTGTTTTGTTGTATTGTGTTGTGTTTGAACCACATCTTCTCACTAGGACCTGGGACTTGTCAATTCAACTAGACTGGCTGGCTAGGGATCCTCTTGTCTCCATTTCTCTGGCACTGGGATTACAAGCACATGCCACCACACCCAGCTATATATTTATAGATATTTGTTTACTTGGTTTTCTTTTTATCTGTGTGTGCTTGCACATGTCAGTATGGATGCTCCAGAAGCTGTAAGAGGATGCTCTTTGTCTCCTCTGGAAGTGACTGACAGGCAGTTGTGAGTTGGTCAGCATAGGTTCTAGGAACCAAACTGCAACCCTCTACAATAGTAACAAATGCTCCTAACCACTCCGCTGTCTCCCCAGCTGTCATCACCCAGCTTTCTTAAATGGGTTCTGGCCACCAGACTAGGATACTCTTACTTGACTAGCAAACCCTTTACCTACTCATACATCTCCTTAATAATCTTTTGTGGTGATATATCATTTATGACTTTTAAAGATTTCTTGAAGTGTCAGAAAGCAAAGCCAGCCACATTAGTTAGTTATAGAAGCTAGGCAGTGGTGGCACACGCCTTTAATCCAGGACTCAGGAGACAGTCAGATGGATGTCTCTGAGTTCAAGGCCACCCTGACCTACACAAGAGTGAAGAGTAACAGAGCCCACACCTTTGAGTCCAGCACTAGAGAGGTGGAGATAGGAGGATATGGCTGGGTGGATAAAGGAATAGAAGCAGCAGGAGACAGGAATTCAGAGCTTTTGCCTCTGAGGATTCATGGAGACAGGAGTCACCCCTTTCAGTCTGAGGTAGAGGCAACAGCTAGTGGCTGACTGTTTTGCTGCTTCTCTGATCTTCAGCTTGAAGCTTGAACCTCAGTATCTGTCTCTGGGTCTTTTGTTTTTCATGTTACAATCTTTGTTTTTCGTGATGTTATTTTATCTTTTGAGACATGGTCTCACATAGCACAAGCTAGCTTCCGACTTGTAACTAAGGATAACTTTGATTCCCTAAACCTCTTTCCTCTGTCTCCTAAGTGTGTGTGTCTCCATGCCAGGCCTGAATCCCCCTGCTTTGAGAGTTGTAATGAATTAAATTAGCAACTGAGGTCTGCATCCAGAAGTAAACTTTTGGTTCCCTTGCTCACTGTTTATTTTGAGCTTTGAAACTGTTTTCTGGTTGTTTACTGACTCAGATTCTCTCACCCACAACACCCTAATCAAAAATAACCTATTTAAATATAATACAGCAAAATATGAAGGGCATGTTGCATAGTAAAACAGTCAGTAATTAAGTTCAGTGACTGTCATCTTCTCTTTTCATTAGCATAAAAAGGTCCTGAAATGGCAACAAAGTTACATCTTCACATTATTCAATAAAAACAGATAACATAACATCATCCTCACAGTATAGTGTTGGGAAAGTCCCAGCCCTCTTTCATCTTGAGTCTGTAAGGGTCCCTTTGTAGGGCTTACAAGTCTAATGTCACATAACTGTTATCTACCAAATGTCACTGTTACATAATGTTTTGTACTTTGTACACTGGTAGAGGAACATTGAGATCCCATTTGTCTGCTCTAATACCCATCTGACTGTGTGCAGTG